ATAGTTCTCGTTTTAAGCCTCCTAAGTTCAATTACAGACAGGTTTCTGTTTAGCAGTGCTCCATCACTAATAAGTCTCCAATGCCATCAGGAAGAAACCAAATCTGAGTAACTTCAGGAAATCAATCAACTACAGGAAACAAAACAGGGAATGCAAAGCACTTACCAGCAAGGCTACTTGTCTGGGAGCTGGATAGCCACCTTCAAAGCATTGAAAATTCTTAGAAAATGACCCCCTCACTGCAATCTCAACATGGAGTTTGATCTGGGACCTATAACTCACTTTATGCAACATGTCCTTAGAATTTACATAGGTTAAATAACATACAGGTGTTATTGGATAGGATATGAGTAGATCTGTAGACATTCTATTGTCCATTGGGAGATATTGAATAGATACACATTATTTATAAAGAACAACCCCATAACGGCTATATTTTATTATCTACCACAATTTTAGGGTAAGAACTCTCATCCCAAGAACAATAATCATACAGAATGGCAGGAAACAGAGATATGCTGATTCATTTCAATAATTCCTCAGTTACACGTTCCTTGTTGAATGTTCCACTAAAGGTGTGTATTTGTAAAATTGAAAAATTAGGGAGAAAAACCCAAATGACCCATGAAGATCAGTGCTGTACACTTCCAATTCTATTCTTAGGCTTCTCTACTTAGTCAAGGTCTTTCTTGTGGGACTCCATCCCAAAGAGGTATTCAATCTTCACTCCTTTCTATGCTAAGAACGTTTATTTTGGTATTTGCAGTTGCCACTTGCCTTCTAGATTCTGACATTTCATTTCCAATTGCTTGGTGTATCTTCTTTGTTCCAAAAAACAAACAAAAACCAAAACCAAAGCAAACCCAAAACAAACAAAAAATCTGACCTATTTAAATTGCCCTTTACATGACTAAGGCAACCAAAGAAGATTTGAGGAGCAAGAGAAACAGAAAACTTAAAAGGGAGGCATCCACATCATTACATCTAAATGGGGAAAGCATCCTGAATAAGGCAGTAGACTGTCTTCACTGGGTAGAAAGCCCATAGGTTACCTGCTTTCTCTTCTAGTCACCAGCCAGCATTCTAATTAATTAGTAATCAGGCTTTCTAATTAGCAGTCAGTCTTTCAAATTAGCAATCTGGCTTCTAAGGAAATGCTACTCTCAAAAGTGGTCACTTGTCTATTTAACACAATTGTTTAATGGGTGGTAAGTTCAGTTGATGTCTCCATACTCAAAATATACTCCTATTCAGTACATAATTATTAGAATGAAATACAGTCTAGGCCCTGCAAGTGCAGTATCATAAGTAGGTCTCTCTCTTTCTCTTCCTCCACCCCACACATTCACATCCCAGTTCTAGAAAAGTAGATGATTCAGATCCTTGATCTAGTTTGAGAAAAGCGGAAAGCTCATCTAAAATGTTACAAGTTTGACATGGCATATGAGAATGTATAAAGAGTAAGAGAAAGACTATTTTCTGGAAAAAACTAGTGCTCTAACCTGGACATGGTGGGACACCTCTATAATCCCAGGGAATTAGTTGAGGCAGAAGGATAGACATTTGGGTATCATTCCAAATCTGACACAGACAAAATGTCACGCATGATATGATTTGTGATTTCCTTTTTGAATAAATTAGAATACATTAAGCAATTTCATTAATGATTTAATGAAGTTTGAGATTAGTATTTATCCTACAGAATCAGCCACTCATTCTTCTACTTAACTGCCAATGGTCTGAAATCTTTAAATAAATGATCTTTTTGTTTTGGTCTACCTATACTTTCTAAAAATATGTACTAAGAAAGAAAGTTTGAGCTTCTTCTAAAATTTTCAGCATATGGGAGATTACAGTAGAACATTGACACACGCTCACACAGCTGTACTGTCTAAAAACCTGTTGTATTGCTTTTGGTCCAATAATTATATTTAGATTCTACATTGGACTGTTGTTATAGTGAGCAGAACCAAAATAGTGAGCATGGTGAAGATGGAAGCTGAGGGATGGACAAAATCCACAAAGCAAGGAACAGTAGCTATTTGGTATATATAAGTGATGAGAGAGAAGATCCCATTTTGGGAATGTCTTCGGACTACTATAGTGGTGATATCTAGCAGAAGTATACCTGTCAAGTAATCTACACATGATGTGGGATAATGCTCTTATACACTGTAAAGATTTGTAATTTATATTGGTTTAATAAAACACTGATTGTCCAGAAGCCAGGCAGACAGTATAGTTGGGGCAACCAGACTAGGAGATTTCTGGGAAGAGGAGAGGAAAGACAGAGTCGCTAGCCAGAAGCAAAAGAAGCAAGATGAGAATGCCTTACTGAGAAAAGGTTCCAAGCCATGTGACTAAACATAGATAATAATTAGGGGTTAATTTAAGTTGTAAGAGCTTGTTAGTAATAAATCTGAGCAATAGGCCCAACAGTTTATAATTAATATAAACTCTGTGTGCTTACTTGGGACTAAATGGCTGCAGGACAAGGTCTGTCTACACACATACACATGAGCATAATTTGTTTTAAATATACTAGCAGCCAAATCAAAGGACTCAGATGAATTCTAACATGATAGTTAACATACTAACAATAAAACCATTTTAGCAGTCATCACTAAAATGACCCAGATAATGGATACTTTCACATGGAAGGGAGATATGAATGATTTATCCACATCATTTTCGCTGTGGAAAAAAATGGGTTGCATCTAATTCCAGAAGAAGCCTGGCGTATGTCAGGCATATAATAAATGTTCATCAAATAATAATAATAACTAACACTTGGGTAGAATTTAAGATGTGCCATCTACTTTTCTTAAGGCTTTCTGCATTTAAAAATATCCAGTTTTCAAAACAATCTGGTGAATAAATATGTGATAATATTATTTTTATAGATGTACAACAGAGCAAGATACTCTTTTTAAAATGATTTATTTAGTGTTTGTTTGTATGTGTGCATGCCTGTGTGAAATTATGTGTATGGGTGTGGGTGCCTACATAGGCCAGAGATACATCAGATCCCCAAGGACTGGAATTATTATGGGTAGTTGTGAGCCTACTGATCTGGGTTCTGGGACTAACTGCGATCCATTTTAAATAGTCATTGAGCCCTTTCTTTAGACCCTGGCAAGATAAGACTGTTAGTATCAGTCTTCATATTACACTGAGTATACTTATAAATTGAACTCCAAGAATATTTTTATTATTGATGTTTTTAATTTATGCTAATGTTAATACTACAATAAACAACTATTGAATGGAAGGCATTGTTTAGAGCACTTCATTCTTCATTACTCCAAACAAGTTTTTTGAATGAATACAATCACTGACTTCATTTTATACATGGTAAAGCCAAGTTTAAGATATATTCTTTAAAACACATTGAAATGGGGGTATAATTCAGTAGTAGATCATGTACTCATAGTCCATTATTTTCTGTGTTATTTCTAGCACCCCAAACTGAAAAACTGTTTTAAAAATAACTTTTACACATTATTTTAAAATATTTTTTATTTAATTTAGAAACAATCTTATTTTACATATCAATTCCAGTTCCCTCTCCCTCCCATCCTCCCATGCCCACCCTCCCCTGGCCCATCCCCCATCCCCTCCCCAGGGAAAGTGAGGCCTTCCATAGAGGATCATCAAAGTCTGTCACATCATTTGGGGCAGGGTCTAGGACCTCCCCCTTGTATCTAGGCTAAGAGCATAACCCTCCATGGGCTCCCAAAGTCCATTTGTGCACTAGGGATAAATACTGGATCTACTGTAAGAGGCGCCATAGACTGCCCAGACCTCCTGTCACTCACGAACAAAGGGCATAGTTCTGTCCTATGCTGGTTCCCCAGCTGTCTGGCTGGGGTCCATGATCTCCCACTTGCTCAGGTCAGCTGTTTCTGTGGGTTTCCCCAGCATGGTCTTGACCCCTTTGCTCATCACTCCTCCCTCTCTACAATCGGATTCTCAAGAGTTCGGCTTAACTGTGGATGTCTGATTCTGCTTCCATCAGCTGCTGGATAAAGGCTCTAAGATGGCATTTAAGGCAGTCATCAATCTCATTATCGGGGAAGGGCATTTAAGGTAGCCTCTCCACTATTGCTTAGATTCCTAGTTGGGGTCATCCTTGTGAATCTCTGTACATTTCCCTAGTGCCAGATATCTCTTTAAACCTACACATACTATTTTTAAGAATATTGAAAATAGTGCAATGACTATTTCATATTGCTTTTGGTGACAATAGGAGGCCCATATCAGTTTCACATAATAAATAACATTTGGTTCTCACAGTGACCCCGGACAAGAAGGCACCTTTCTCATCATTTTACAGTGAGAAACTCAAGGGTTGCAGAGTTTCAGGAGACACCTGAGAAGAGTGGTGGTGCTGGGTTCCAACTTGTGTCATCAATGTTTCATTTAAAACAGTCATATTCAGGGTCTGATTTCTTCCTCTCAGGAAAAAAAAAAAAAACCAATAAACCATTAAATACAGTGCAACCCACATGCTAGGTAAGTGCTCTACCACTGAGATATACTGCTACCCCTAGGGATTGGATTAATTCATAAATAATCTGAATAAGAAGAAATGCAGAGGTTTCCTGTATCTCTCAACTGACTATGAAAGTAAAGACACTGATTATAACTAACATGGATAAGTAATACAAGCACTTTATCTGTTAGAATTAAAAACCAGAAAACAACCAAATATACATCCTACTGCTAGGATTCAAGAAATGTCCAAATTATTTTGAAAGAAATTACAATTTTAAAGGAAGTTTATTCACATTTTATGAACTCTTTCTGCCTCTCTCTCTCCTTCTCTCCCACTCTTTACATACACAAACACACACACACACATACACACACACACACACACACACACACACACACACACTGACTTATTTTTGCTTTAAATCATCATTTAAATCATTAAATAAGGACTAAAAGGTCAAAAGAGAATTTGATGGAATAAAAACAAAGAAACACATAATGAGTTGATTTAACTCAGTGAATATTGACATTTTATTTTTATATTAATTTGTATTTTGTCATCCAGGCATATTTGAATACCACTCAGAATTTTCAAAAATATTCACTGAATAAATAACTTTCACTTTAGGAGCTACATATATACTGCATGTAGTTCATTTATTTACTTTGAACCTTTGGAGCCCTTCTTATGATGCTTATAAAATATAGATTCACACAGATCCCTAATGATGACATGTTAACAGTCAAGCAGCATTTAAAGCCTGACATGTCCCTACATATAATTACTCAAAATTTCCCCATACATAGACACCACACCTTGTTGTCAATAAATAATTCCACTTTAATGGCAAAGTAATAATTTAGACAGATACAGGGTGCACATTTGCAAAAAAATATATGCAAGCTGGTTTACAAGCTAGAGGAACAATAAACCAATAGAAAATACATCATCCAGTTAGGTCCATTGACACCAAATACTTATTGTTGGGGCTTTACAAAGACTACAAAACTTCTCAGGTGATTTCTTTCACTGATTCTGCCTATTTACATGATATGTTACACCCAAAAATGTACAAAATATAAAATGTATACAGACAAATGTTTCACAAACTAGTTTACGTTGTAAACTAGGCGTACCTACTGGGATGTATTGCAGGGAGTTGTGTGTATGCTCATGTGTTGACTGTGTCTCTCGAAATGGCAGGGAAAGATTAGCAATTTCCTTAGATGGCATATCATACAAGGGCAACTAGTCACTCATCCAGCTACATACATCGATGTTGCATGACAGATTTGATCTACAGTTGAGGCTTCAAAGTCAGAGTGACAATTCTGTGTGCATAAACTCAGTCTGATTTCCCTCCGGGCAATAGCACCGTATAAGGACCTACACACTTAGTGACACTCTGAAATCTGCAGAGATACCTTGTGTTGTTAATATTGTTCTAGAGAAACCAACCCATCGATGGTCACAGAGGATAGCACCAATAACATGTCCCAAAAGGCGCACAGAGTTTCTTCTATACCATGGCATAGACCTTAATAAACTTTGAACCCGTCCTCTGTGGGTGGTGTAACTTTGCCAGTGACTGATTAGTTTTCAGGCACTGTCTTTTTGCCTGCCACAAGAGATGTACTTTCAGACAGTTACTTATTCAAAAATGTACTGGCCTCGTGTATAGTTCGGAAGCATGCTCACTCTAGGACAGATAGCTCCTGCATTGTCACAACAACTTGTAAGTACAGGACAAACACACCAGATAATAACAGCTTTGAGGGGTTGCATTCTGTATTTGTTTGCAACATACAGGAAATCTCAGCAAGTGGAACACCTCTTAACACCAACAGGATAAAATACAATTTTGTTTGTGTTTGTTTTGATTTTTGTGCAAGTTTGAAAAGAAAAATCATTATTTACAATACCTACCCAGTAGACTGTGCAAATCTAACCTTCTTGTACAGTATAAATGCTTCCTCTTCCACAGTGACTGACTGCATTAGTGTTCTTTAATGCTGAATGTCTCATGTACAACAATAGTGATCAAAACAACATGCGTCAAAACTAACGTTTGTCTTTGAAAGGTAAGGACAAGGGAAGGAAAGCCAAATAGTTGTGCTCGTGCTGAATCCAGTTCTTGGAGTTCATCTGGACCCGAATTAGACATCTCCCACCTTCTAAAATGCTTTCATTTAGAACTGAGTGGGAGGAAGCCACATGTCTCTGCTTTGAAGTGATGGTCACAGAGGGGTTCTAGGGTTCTCCAATGATTTTCAGGATAGGCAAAGAAATCTCTTTATTCATAAGATAAAAATACTGATCTTTCTCCTATCCATTTCTTCAAGAAAAATAAATTTTTTTTAAAAAAAAATCTATAGGAATGAGGCTGCTGTATTAACTGGTGTGTTGCTTGGTTGTAAATGAAGAGACAGTGGGAATTAGCAATGGTTGAGGATTGAAACCAACTGTTAAACTGTTGGAGAAATCTGTTTTAAGGCAGTGAGACAGCACCATAGAAAATGTTCCTTCTTTCACTGAAAAGGCGCAAACAAAGCCCTAAAAAAGCCTTTTGTCAGTGTTGACTAATAATTGGTATAAAACTTGGGTTCAGGGAGTGGGCAGGTGGTTTGAAAAGACCACTGTGGTAAAAACAACCTTATAAAACCCATGACTCAAACACTAAGAGGAGGGTAGCACACCTCAGGAGAGCACAATGGCTAGAAGGAACCTGGCCCTTCCCATTTGCCACAGTAGTGTTTTTCTGGTGGTTGCACAATTCCCTTTGTGCTTACAGAGAGGACTGGCCTCAGATTCATTCTGCAATGGAGTGAGCACACAACACAGACACTACTGGAGCCCTGTCACCAGCACCATGTGGTACAAAGGCGGTTGCATGGATCAGAAGAATGGACCTTCCTGAGGAGGGCAGCCCCTCAGAGGAAACAAAAGAAAGGCACAAAAAAGAAAGGGGAAAAAAAAAAGTCCTGTATTGTAAACTTTGAAAGAGGAAGAAAATAAAGTCTGGCCTGCTATCCCATGTGAAATCTACTCAGTTGCCCATTGTTAGGGACCTTCCCAGTCACATAATGGAGCCTTCGCTAACTCCATGGTTATCAAAATGCCTAGGGATAAAATAAACTAAGCTCCAATTTCAATTTAGCATCCTGGCAGTTCCAACTTAATTCTGCTGCCTCCTTGGAGGCCACAATTCTGGACTCAGGGTCAGGGCCCTGGACAGGGGACTTTCATACTGGCAGTGGTTTAGTGACAATACCTTTCTTTTAAAACATCTTTGAACAGCATTGTCCTTTGCCTAACTCTTTTCATCCATTAGAGGGTGGATTCAAGAGAGGAATCCAAAATGTCTTCGCGGTGGTGAATGCTATCGCTGTCACAGCTTTGTGTGCCCGAGTAGTTGGCTGCTTCCTGGAGTTTCATTAGCATATTCATCTGAAGAAACAGAAAGAGACATCCTTGTGAGCTACTATGCACGGAGCCAGCCACCCCCAGAATGAGCAGGGCCCTGAGCCATCACAGGGAACTGTCATCTCTTCTCATCCCATCCAAATTAAATGCACACGACAGTTATGGGTTTTCGCTCACCGACCTGATTCCTGGATTGTTTCTCTCAGACACGACTACAGCTCTAAAGCAGAAGAACAAAATAGGGCCCTAAGATAACTCTTTTATTTGGGGCTGTGAAGCGATACTGCTCCAGCAGGGAGACTGGAAAGGAAACTATCACAGCTGGACATCTGGGTTGGTTGCTGGAGAGCAAGCCAAGCTTCCCAGCTTTTTGGCTGGGAGAAGCAGAGAGCAGTGAACAGCAAGTGAAAGTCATGAATGTTATGAATGTACACGCACACACACACACACACACACACACACACACACGAGAGAGAGAGAGAGAGAGAGACAGAGACAGAGAGACAAAGACAGAGAAAGACAGAGAGACTTGCAAGCTCTGTCCCTTGAGAGTAGCAGGGGACAAAGTGGAATGAAGCCAGCTGCTGCACAAAGCACACCATCTGTTGATTAGGAGCTGACCTCCAGAGGGGTTAACCAGAGGAAGCAGACCATGAGTATTTGAAGAGGGAGAAGGAAAGAATCACTGTCAAGTGTTTGCTGTCACTGAGGTTCTGGCTGAAATATGATGGATACATCACTGAGAACAAAATCCACCTTCTGGAACAATAGCAGCCTTCTCAGGCTTCTCAACTTCACAGGAGAATGGTAGCATTTGTTCCAGTAGAGAGGACTTGTGCATGAGAGCACCTGAGGAGAGAGGCAGCTCTCCTATGTATTATAAAATAAAAGGCTTGGATTTCAATAGATCTGCAGTTCCACTATTAAAGATGGGAGCTAGGAAAAAGAATGTTTAAAAGCAGATTGGGAAAATCGATGGCTCAACAATTTCATAAGGCACAAGGTAATTGGTGCCTGTCTTCACGAGGGTCAGACACTTGTTTTCTTATTGAGGGTTTCTTACAGTACAATAAACTTTATATTGCTTAGTGCCAAATGCTAACCACAGTACTTTTTGCAACAATCAAAGTTGTCCTTTATCTTTCAACTCAGAGAAATAGAGAAGGGAGAGATGTCTAAAAGAAGATGTCTTGGTCTTCAGTCAGGCTATGACTATTTGTATGTCAGTATAAAATGTATGTTCAATAAATGTTTGTGAAATAAATGATGAACTGGTAATCATCAATTCCAGCAAGAATGCCATTTTGACAAAGAGGCTGTGGTTATAGAGTATTTTGAAATCATGTTGATAATTTTCAGGGCATTTTTCAATAGCATTTCAATCTTAACTACCACAATGTATTAAACCACCTACACAAGGGTATTAGATGAAAATGGTTGGGGATAATGTCAGGAAACTTAAGCATTTGACTATAGCTGGTTTATAAAAGAGAATTGTGTCTGAGCACCCTCCTGTCTTAAAAAGAGAAAATACATTACCCTTTGACCCCAGTGGACACAAGGCACACATGTGGTACACACACACACATGCAGGCAAAATATTCATATACGTGAAATAAAATAAATAAAAGGAAATGGTGCTCTATATTAGGTTCAATCAGCATCAGTTCCCAATCTCAGATCTGTAATAAACACAAAGAGATATACTCTGCTTCTGGCTGTGTTGTTTTATACACTGTAATAAAAAGGATATTAGAAAAAGGTGAGTTTACATAGGACTCTGTTGTCATTGTGATCAACCCGAATTCTCTGCACATCATTTTCCCCTGGTTTCTGATACATCCTCCCTATGCTCACAGTCAAGATAATGCCTATTACTTTAACATGCTTTTAAGTTGATCTCACTCAGGAGCTGAAGCTCTGCCAGTTACCCCAGCTCCATGCTCTGTTGGCTGCTCTGCTACTAGAATGATCTTAAGCAACTACAAATCCAAACAGATAAACACTAGTGAAAACTACCAACTGATGCTCCACTGTCTGTGTGATAAAGTTTTAACTACCCATAAACGTAAAATGGCTCCATGAGATCTAACAGCTAGATACGTCTATCGTTTTAATTCTTCTGACCAACTGGTACTCAGCCTCTAACTCTTCATTTTCACTGTGCTGTTTGACAGTGTTTTGTGTGATATTTCCATGACTTGAGAGGTTCTGCATTGCATGGCTGTGAACAACGCCAATGCCTGTTTTGACATCCAGCTCAACCGTTCCATCTGTGAAGTCCCTTAACAGACTCACAATGTTGCTCACCAAGTGTCCTGAATCTCATGCAGTTTATGCAGGCACATGTCTTATGTCACTAGTGGACTTAAGATCCTAAATGATGACACCTACCATGATAGCCAGATCTTAGCATTCAGCACACATATGTCAACATTAAACATTTCTGATGGTGCCTGTACATTTCATTTTGATGTTAATGTTCAGTGTACTAGAGCATACATCCTTGTTCAGATTCAAAACCAGGTTCCTGACAGAAATAATCTCCCTACCGGGATTTCTAATTTAGATTAGACTGCAATGCAGTTTTGCTACCCTTCAGGGGTTATACAAATACACAGAAACAAAGACAGAGACAACACATGTATGTTCACAACAGAATATATCTAACCTGAGGGTCAGTTTTAGATGATACTTTCTGTCACTAAGCATGCAAGGCAATAGTTCCTTCTTGAGGTTCTCACTAGTAGAATGCTATCACAGTACAAAGTACTAAAAAGAGGTCTTTATTCCTAATCATGATATGTACTTAATACATAATAATATCATATATTAGAGTTCTGTACACTTACTTAAACTATTGCGGTGCTTCTAAAACTAAAATTATATGCACTAGTGCAATGAGGAAAGTGGTATAACTACCTCCTTTTTGATTGCCACAGAGATGACTCAGTGGTTAAGGGTGCTGACTGCTCTTCCTGAGGACCTGGGTTCAATTCCCAGCACTCACATGGCAGCTCACAAACTATCTGTAACCCAAGTTGCAAGAGATCTGGAACCCTCACACAGACATAAATGCAGGAAAATACTGAAGAACATAAAAATAAATAACTCTTATATAATCCCTGAAGGATTAAAATAAATAAATTATATAAGTGTATACACACACACACACCCCATATATATTATATAATATAGATAAATAAATTATATAAAGTATATATAAAATAAATTATATAAAATAAATAAATCTTGTATAACCCCTGAAGGATAGCAAAACTGCATTGCAATCTAAACTAAATTATAAATCCTGGTAGGGAGATTATTTCTGTCAGGATCTGGGTTTTGAATCTGAACAAAGATGTATGCTCTGGTACACTGAAAGAAACAGAAGGCTAACTGTGCATTTAGTTAGGCTAGTTGATTAGGTTTGTTCTGTGTACATTTGATTGTATTTTAATTATAGGTAAACTTCACTTTTTTCTTAAATAGTGGATTGTCATGACAATTAAAACACTTATTATTTAAATATCAACACATTAATGTATAATCAGAGAAAAATTATAGTTAAACAGTTTGAACCAGTTCAGGGTTTCTGACTTTGTTTTTGACAAATAAGTTAGTTTGTATGTCTTTTCATTTTTTTTGTTTTGTTTTGTTTTGTTTTGTTTTGTTTTTTGTTTGCTTTTTAAAGAATTTCAACCAGGGAAATTGTTCTAAAGGCAACAGTTTGAATGCTCATCTTGTCAGGCTGGTTTCATATACTGCCTGTAGTAACTGGTCTTTGGTACTGATAGCTAAATGCTAATGACTACATTGACATAAGGACAAAACAAGAATAATCAGACATGCTTACCAAGGGGTCCCCTTCCGTGTCAGTCTGGGGAATGTGCTTTGACGTTGTGGCTTCCTTCGAAGTTGTGCAGCCCTCATAGCCAACATCTTCCGGTCTCAACTGCAGTAATGCTGGGCCCTCCTGAGGCAGGGATATGGGGTTCCACGGGTAGGTTTCAAGCACCCACTTAGACGGATCTTCCCATGGTGCACGCTTCCCATACATCTAAAAGGTTACCACATGCAAACATCATTTCTATTAGGCAGGGGGAAAAGTGTGACTGCTAATTAGGTGATGAAAAATGAATTTTCACATCCAGTTCCGGTGTATCTTTCAAGACAATTTTCCAGATTTTAAACAAACATACATCTACAAAGCTCACTTAAGACCTCACAATTCTGTAAGAAGGGGGGGAAGCATGAAGGACTTTTATGATAAGGAAATACAGACATTCTTGTACACATTTGCTTTTACTAATAACTTCACAAACCCAGGGGGAACAAACAAGCAAGCAAAAATCCTTAAGGTTGACAAACAAGACCTGGAAAGCAAAACCTGTTTTTACAATAAAGGGAGTTCTCTACCACAATGTGCTTTAGAAAGATGACGAATGAAGGAGGTTTTTTTGTCCATTCACTGTACTTCAGTAAGCATGTCCCTCTAATAACCATCCCTTGCTCCCAGAATTCCATTGCTTCCCTTTGGAACACTTCTGATACATTTATAAATAAGAATACTGAGAATCGAGGGGGAAAATGGAAACCCAATTATGAATTCTGTAAGAATCTATGGAAAATGATGACCACAATACAAGAAAGAGATGCAAGACAAGGGAGAAAGTAGTGTTAGAAGAATACAGGAGAGAAAATGACCCGGGAATTTCTCTGTTAGAAACAAAGCTGAAGTGAAATTGAAGAGGGCATGGTGAGGAGACAGAGACAGGCAAGATTTTGTAAACAAGGTGTAAGGCCGAGAGAACAAGGAAAGAAAAGCTAAACTTAGAAGGAGGCAACAGTGTACTTTCTTTTCTCTTGTGACCTGTGCCACCAAGGACCTTTTTGGTCACCAGGCACTCTAGAGACATGACCTCAGAGGACAGTTTTCAGTTTGTTGGGTGATGATGCATGCTTTTAGTGGTTCAGTGAGACAAAAGAAAAACATAGGTATTGGGAATACACGTCCATGGGAACACCTGTAGGTTTCTCCAGAAATTTTATATATATATATGTTATATATATATTATATTATATTTATAAATAATGCATAAAATCTATACATTTATATTAAATTTAAAATTTGAATCAAGATACAGCAAAAATTATTTAGGTCCCTATATTCCTTTTGGACTCAGGGACAGAGGTAGAAATCTGAAGATTACTTGTTTTTCATCATTTTTTAAAAAATAGCTCTCATTTTGGAACAGGAAGTTTTGTCTCAACTAAAATCTACTTAATAGAAGGTAAAAAAGTAAAGATATAGGTATACAACTAATTAAAAGGCAAAATGTACAATTCTTTTTGAGGGAGAAATTCAAAGCAGGGTTTTTCTGTATAGCCCTGGCTGTCATGGAACTCACTGTGTAGGCCAGGCTAGCCTCAAACTCAGAGATCTATGTGCTTCTTCCTCCCCAGTACTGGGATTAAAGTCATGTGCCACCACCACCCAGCAATGTACAAGTCTTAAAAGTTTGTGTTTATGGGTTTAAGGGATGGGTATCTGTGATTAGGAGTTCAGTGGCTACAGAGGAGCCAGGTTCGATACCTAGCACTGACAATGGCAACTTAAAACCTTCCTTAACTCTAGGTCCAGGGTAACTGACACTTTCTCTGGCTTCCAAAGACATGAGGTATGTATGTGGTGCACATACATACATCTAGGCAAAATACTCATCACATAAAATAAAAATAATAAGTAAATCTAAAAGAAGAATTTTTTTTAATTGCAAGTCTAGAATTGACCTGAAAAGACTTGAGGTGTATGAACAGCCATTTTAAAGAGCTGGCTAGGATGGCAAGGGTACAGGAGACAAAAAAGTGAATACTATAAGAAGAGAAATCTAAACACCCAGAAAGAGCTGATTTGATCACTGACATTTCAAGAAAGATGGAATCACTAGAAGAAAAACTCAGATTGTGTGTGTCAGTAGCATCCTTTCCAAACAGAACATGTGTCACAGAGCATCCCCCAGATGGTCCCCAGCAAAGCACCAGTCTTCATCCAAAAATGACTTTCCTTTTCCATTACTCCAAATGGAGAAGAGAGGAATCATTTCCTTTGAGATAAGGTCCTTTGACACTAGTAATTTCAAAGTCATGACTTACGGCCTTCTCTGCCTTGGAGGTCACAGATAGGGCCCTCCAAGATTCCCATGATCTGAAATCTTTCATATAGTAAAGGTTTCAACTTGAACAAGAGCTGTCCATCTATTAAAAATGTATTCTTTTCGCCTTTTTTATGTGCTGGTTCCCAATTTGAGCCTCTACATCTATAAGGTAACTTATTTGGCTTTGTAGGCTAACCTAGTATCAAATTATCAGGAGCCACAGCAATAAGCTTGAGGCATATAAATTCTGTTTGGTAGATTATGATTACTGAAATGGTTTTGACTTTCACCCAAATGGAAGTGTCACACAATTATAATGCTCAAAGAAGAGGTTAACAGATATCATTTACTGTACTATTAAAAAAAAAAAGTCCATGTTTCTTCAAAAATAGAATCTATGGAAGGTAAGCAATTTCTACATCACTGCTTTGGAGCTCATAAGGCTTCTGTTACTTTTGACTTGTTAGCAAGCAAATATGAAATATTAGTCTACATATAAAGACTAGGATAGTAGTTTATTAATATGGAAACTATAGCTGGAGGGCAAATAGTTCACCTAAATGTTAATTCAAAAATAAACTTCTTTAATATAAATGAGTTTGTATAAAAGATAATATGATTTTTTTGAATAAATGAAATTTGAGAGACCAGCTGATATTGTAGGCAGCACAATGGTTTTTTGAAAATCCATGAACCACAAAATGAATTAAAGCCATTTTTCCCCCTTGGGTCCACTTACTAATCTGTGTCCTAAGATGTATAACTGTGTAATTAAATACCCATTTAACAAGAACATTGTCAACACCCATTGCAACAATCTTGGCCTTCAATGCATAGTGTTGGGAGAGCTCCTTTTGTACAGACATACACAACAGCCTTGAGTATGCTGCACATTTGTTGCTCTTTACTTTGGTTTTCTGCATAAATATCCAAATTAATGAATGCTTTGGCTCTTAAAAGAATGAGGGTTTGGCGGCTTCTTCTTCTTCTTCTTCTTCTTCTTCTTCTTCTTCTTCTTCTTCTTCTTCTTCTTCTTCTTCTTCTTCTTTTTTGCATCATTTCTCTACACAACAATACAAGTCAAATACTCTACCTGAAGGCCTTCTCTCACTGCCTCCAGAATGTAAGGTACCAAGGAATAATTCCAAAGGTCCATGAACCACACCCTAGAACCTTCCACATCCATGGGGCATGGAAGGAAAAGCCGAGGACCTGAGAAGACACAAATGATAGGATATTTCAGAAGCATTGCTTTTACTAATCCAAACACATGTTTAGAGACATTTTGGAGAAACATAACACATATACTCCTAGAAAATTCTACTTTGGTCAGCCCAATCATCATGAAAACATGTTTATAGAAGGTCAACTCTCCAGCCCTCTTGCTTTTCCTAACAGTGAAACATCAATGGAAGATAAAACACAAAATGAGGAGAAATAGTGATGTTTACAATCCAGTCCTTTTACAATGTAAAGTTTAGTTACACAGAAATGAATTGCTAATCACAAGATGCTATTATTTGCAGACTTGGAATCAGTCTAGATATTCTGAGCTGAAGATGTAATTCATGCCTGTAGCTGAGGATTTTTGATGATTGATGGAAGTGGGAAATACACTCTGCCTGTGAAACTTAAGAAGGCATGGAAAAATAAATACCACTGTGCACCCCCCCAAAAGAGGGTAATTCAGTTTTATCTTTTGAGAAAAATATGAAACACAAAACTTATTAATAAGAGGTCCATTATTTTTAATTAAAGTCTTCTCTCATGGCCACATCTGAATGAGCTAATAGATAAAATATGTGACTTGCTCTTTTTAGGCATAAAAAATTACTCTGAGTACTTTTTCTTTGGATTGGTATTCTGAATTTTGGATACTTTCCTATTTCAAACTTAATTTTACTCTCCATAATTGTCAGATACAATGAGATAATTGTAGATTAAACACTAAGAAAGACAGTTTTAGAAAGGAAAAGAATGTCTTAATCTTTGGGAGCTTAGAAAAGCCTGCCTTTCTTTGATAATTCACCATCTAATATGGCTACCTTTATGCAATGCTCTTAGTACCTGAAAAATGGAATATTTTAATTTTGGAACTCACCAATGGTGACATCAGAAGAACTATGTGTTTCCAAAAAGCTATTGAGATGATGCCATGTCTTAGGAATCCAATCAATGATTTTGACTAAGTCATTATTGCGTATATTCCTTTCAATTTCCATCTCTATCAGTTTCCTTCGAAGATACCTGCCTAAAAAGCCTTTCACTGGTTCTGTATGGTTTGCACATAATACCCACCTACAAAAAAGAAAAGAAAAATCAGATATCTTTTTGCAAAATGCAAAATTTATTCCCACAGTAATTTTCATTGCATTATAAAGCACTAATGTCCCCATGTTAATTAATGGCCATAGTTTGATGCTGCAAGCGTTTAGGAAAATCTATTATCATTAAAGTTATAATAAGGTGAATTTTACTTCCTAGCTTCCAAGCATCTTATGTTCCTGAGAGTGAGTGGATGCACACATGCTGAGTGGGCTGAAATAGGAGCTTTCTTCACAGTCTCTACTCAGAAGCAGGGTGCTCTATCTTAGCCAGGCAAGTAGTAAGCAGGAAAAGAAAAGTGTTTGATTACAGTTTAAAGATCACAGAATGTCTGCTTGAAAAAGAGTGCCAGGAGAAGTGAGAATTATCCCCACAACATGGGTTGCTGTGGGCAGGATTGTCAGCAACCAAATGGAAAGACAGCCATCTTTCTGATTAGAAAAAAACCAACAACACATGCACACAAGAGCACAGCCAGCAAGATTGTGCATCACCCCCCCCCACCGACACACACACACACACACACACACACACACACACACGCACACACGCTCACCCCCCCCCACAGTCTTTCAAGTCCTTACCTGAAATTGTGATGTAGCTCTAAATTTGGTGATGAAGAGACTCCCTGATTCATTGTTCCAATAATATAAGGACTAGAAAAAAGAAGAGAATGGGGCATTTAGACCCGCAAGAGATGACAAGTGTCTCTCTGGCATGGACTGGCTGGCACCAATGTTCCATCATTTTGATATTGCAGACCACACTTCTCCAGAACCTTTTTGCTTTCATTTTTAATGATTCTCAATATTAATACCTTTCCCTCTGGGAAGTTTTATGTGAACATTGGTAAAGTATGAAATTGTGTACAATGGTAGCCTCTCTAAACAAAATAATTATTTGGGAGAAAAAATGCCCACCACCACAGATCTAGGAATGCCATTGGGCCCTCCTAATTACACCAAGGACAGGAAAGTTAAGAGATTTACTAGATACACCTGATCTCAAGGATGAATGTCTACAATCCAGAGCCTGAGGCCATTAAGGGTAAGAGTCCAAGTATTAACTCCCTTTTGAGAGTGTACGAGGGGAACAGGCCCATAGAGTAAGACTAAGACACAAAGGGACACAATTAGGGAATAGCTCAGTGTGAATGCTGCATCATACCCCTTGGGGAATGAAAATTGCTCTTAAATTATAGAGGAGTTATTTTGTTTCAGAAGTCCTTTTCCAAGGTCAGGCATTTGGATCAGGGTCTCCATTCCCTGAGGGCTTGAGGAAAGTTCCTGCTTAATAAAGCAGTCATTCTTCTTATCTTTAGCAAGAAGAATTCATGTCCCTTCATTAACATATGACTGGTGCCTTTTGCCAAGGTCAATGCTAGATTCCTCAGCCCCTGATCTCAAGCCACACCCCAGACCAAATGCTTCTTGTCTCCCTTTTAGTCCCATGTGCAACTATATGATCTAAAAGGTGTAGTCTTTTTTCAAATAAATGCTGCTGGTGAAGGGACCAGCTCCCCATTTTGGCAGCCATAACAGCCTAACACGCGTTTGCCCGATCTTGCCTCAGTCACTAGGAGGTCAGATGCCTGCCTCATGGCAAGGAACCAATCAGAAGTTAGCTGGTAGTGCTATGCTTTACAGCTCTGAGTGTGCTTTATGGACAAGTGCACAGCAATGATGTGCAGAGCATAGCAATCGCCCTGGGAGAGCCTGTGGGCCATAACATCCAGTTGGCCAATCAACATAGGGCAAGTCCTCCAAGCCTGGAGGCACACCAATCCTGAGCCTGTGCGTACCCCTAGACACTCCCCTTACGCTGTCCTATACGATCACTATCTCCTGGCTTCTCAAAGTCTTTCCCCAGTCATCTGCCATGGTGGGTGGATGAAAGGTCCCAGCTAACATGGAGTTAGCTCCTTAAACAACTGCAATAAAGCCTCATGCTGTTTGCATCAAGTTTTCGCCTCTGCCTGGTGATTGGGGTAGCTGAGGTCCTGGGTGGAGATCCTGGGGGCCTGAGCCTCAGGGGGGTCTTTCACTGGTAGCCATTCTGATTCACTCTCAGATCTTGTTTGTCCACCTTCCCCCCCCTCCCCTCCCCGTGTCCCCCCATCCCAAGCCTCAGACTACACACTTCTTTAGGACCTGAACTTCACCACCCGCTCTACCCACCTCTGCCAATGCAGGTCTCTGGGATGTCTCAGAATTATAATTAAAAAAACCAGACACTATTCTATTTTAACAGTAGGCTTTAAGAGGGAACGTTTGTAATGTTAAATTGGAAAGTGACAAAAATAATGGGAATGCAAGTTCTTTTGGGGAGTCCAACTGGAGATCTAGCACTGAGGCAAGGCTTCTTTTTCTTCTCCAGTTTGGACCTTAGTTTTTCGCAAAGGAGACTTTGGTCTTCTCTCTTCTATACTACTTTTTTTTGAGAGAGTATTTCACTATGTAGACCTGGCTGGCCTTGAACTCACAGACAGGCCCACCTCTGCCTCTCAAGCACTAGGATTAAAAGAGTGCGCCACCACATCCCATATAGGCTAATATAGCTCTTGAGCTTATACCCAAAACTTGCTATTTTTCAGTTATTTGAAGAGTCTTTTTAAATGAGATTCATTTATTTTAAGTATATGAGTGTTTTGTTCTCATGTATGTTGGCATACCCCAACTGTGTCTGCTGCCCATGGATGTCAGAAGTGGGTGCCAGATCTGAAGTGTTAAACCATTGTAAGCCTTTTTGTGGGTACTGGGGATCTTACAGGTCCTCTGTAAGAACAACAAGTCTTCCTAGCTATCTCTCCAGCCTCCTTAAAGCTTCTTAATCATGCAGTAAGATTTGATTCCCACTTTTACCTTTATTTTATGATAATCAATGTATAGTATTTTATCACTAGCAAAGATTATTTAGAATACCAAAACTACTACAGCTAATGCCATTTATATTGTGTTCTCTATGTCTTTAGAGACAATGCTCCAATGAACATGTGGGTTTTCATATTATTTTATGTCCCTTCACTTTAGATAATAAAGCATTACATTATTGGAGTATCTGAGTGAACTAACTTCATCTCTCCAGAAAAGTTGAAATGATACTTTGGTAGGGACTGAATAGACAGCTTTAAAATATCCTTCTGGCTATCACATTCCCTATTCCAAGAATCTGACCATCCCACCATCCACACTGGTGTTCCAGCATGTCTACAGAAACTAACATTATCAAAGAAGATGTAACACTTCCATAAAAGTTCCCAAAGACCAGGTGCAGTGGTATGGGGAGATTGACGCAGAGGGATTACTGTGAAACTGAGGACAACTTGGTTAACATAATGAGATCCTGTCTCAAAGTCTCAGAAAAAACAAAACAAAACAAAACAAACAAACAAAGCAAAAGCCCTCTCAGGGGACATAGCTGTGGATGATAGGTATCCTAAAGTACACACACAGATTCTATGGAAATTTAGGATACTATTAGAAGTTCTTGCACTAATGGTAGCTTCTACAAGTTGTTTTTTGTTGTTGTTTTGTTTTAAAGATTTATTTATTATGTATATACAGTGTTCTGTCTGCATGTATCCCTGCAGACCAGAATAGGGCACCAGATCTCATTACAGATGGTTGTGAGCCACCATGCAGTAGCTGTGAGTTGAACTCAGGACCTCTGGAAGACCAGCTAGAGCTCTTGTTATCTGAGCCCTCTCTAATCCCTACTACACGTCTTAAAACACAAAAAGGCACAAAGAAGTAAATGGCATTGCCGTTTCTAAACATGGTTGTTCCAATTATTTTTATGAGCTTACCATTTGTTGTATTTACAGTTGAGGAAACCATTGAAGATATCACTCAAAGAGCCCACGTGGTGAAGATTATCTAGAATTATGACAACAGGGAGCTCCACACCATTATTGTCAGCACTGCATTGCTCAGCCAGGTTGGCAAGATACTGCTGCAATTCCTTAAAGAGACAGAACAAATACAAGAGAGATGCGTCTCCACCGAATGCAAGCAATTCACATGTTTAGGATTAGCATACTGTGTCCTTCATTCATGTTCTTTTTATTATTACCATGCACAAAGCCCATTTCAAATTCAGAGGCTGGAAATTTTAAACAAAAGAGGGACAGGAAAGTGGGTGATCTAAAACTGAAGACACAGGTGTATTTCAGCGGTTCATCCTCAGAAGGAAAGCCAGATGAGTTCTAGATGGGAACTCTCATGGTAAGCTATAAACATCAGATGTCTTTGGTTTTTGATATTCCAATAAAGTAGGTTTTTACCCAAGTTATTTCAGTTATAGACTAAAGCCAAAATGGCAACTTTTAGCTTCCTTATACACTTTCAACATTTTGATTTGAACTATTTATCTGAGTTGTATGTAAAAGCTCATCTCTAGTCCTCAAACAAACAAACAACAACAACAAAGTAGAACATTATTTACAACCTACAGATGACTGCTGTAATTGTAAACAAAGAAACCATTTCTTATATTTCACAGGGTCATTTAACAACAGTGCTTAGCATTTTCTTGAGCTTCTTAGTTATTTTTCATGCATTATTCTTGTCTAATAACTTTGAACCTAAATATGATAACCAGTTCTCTGATTGACAGTTCTCACAGATGGGTAGGTCAGAAGCAAAATTAGGTTCCTTAGAATTATCCTAATCAGCAAGAACATTTCCATAATATTTGCATATTTATAATGCCATTTTCAATTTGTAAATCTTGCTCAGGGTTAAAACAATTCCATGATCCCAATTTTTGGCAGTCAGGTAAACATATGCCCCCCACACACTAGATACTTCCTCACACTATCTATGAAGTTAAGTGAGAGAACCAACAGCAGAGTGGATAAAGCAATGCAGGGCATGGCAGAGGCATTGAGTAATATTCATTCCAGTTTCCTGATGGGCTCATAGGGAGGTAGCCTTAGAGGAATCTTGGATAGTAAGCAAAAACTCTGTTAAGTTTGAAACTATTCATTGTTTCAACACACTTTATCAAGAATTTACTATGTGCTGGATACACTGGCACTGAGAACTCAAGGACCAGTTTCTTTGTTCCAAGAACATCCATCAGATGAGCAGACAACCTGAGCAGTGAAGAACATCACAATACCATACAGAAAGTGCTGTGCATAAGACACCACACCGAGATTTAAAAGAAACCTGTCCTAGATTTGAACAACAAAATATTAGGAAAAATGTTTAAAATATTGAGAACAACTCCCTCTCCCCAAAGTTAGAAAGTACAACTGTAAGATATGTTTAAGGAAATAATAAGGATGCTGCTGTTGCAGTGGGATACAGTGCACAGTCGTGGTGTGTGAAAAGGGATGGAAGGACAAAAAGAGACTGGATTCATGAAGAGGGAATTGGAATGTGTAGCGTAGAAAAGAGTGGACCTATGGACCATTGATACCTTTGTTTGGCTGTCAGTAGGAGGGAGCAATTTATTTATCTAAAGAAATACACAATGACTAATAAAACTAAAAACATTCCAGAAGATTATTATTTACAAAGTAGCTAGGCAATGCATACATAACTATAATTGAGATAAAATTACATTACTTTCATATATTTTGCTTTACAATGTGTAAAGATTATTTACAGCCTCTGGAAAAGACTCAAGTAGCAGAAGTACTTCTCACTAATTTTTTATGGTTGGGGAATATTTTGGTGTTTAAAAATGAGAGAAGAGCTTCCCATGTAGAAAGACAGGAATATACAAAGTCAGAAATACAAAAATATGATGTCCAAAAGACAAGTGGAGTGAGCTTTGTAAAAGAGAAATGTATGTAAATAACTAAAAAGGAAGTTTACAATCTGAAATGGTAGGTAAGAGCATGCAACATCTCCTGGTGACCACACAGACATATGTAATATTCATGGGATGAGAATCAGGTAGAGTTATGATTTTGCAATGTAGAAAGTACATTGCATAAGGAGAAAAGAGATGAGCCAAGAGATGCTGAGACTATTGAAGCCAAGGGACACTATTGTTCTAAACAGGAAAAGTGTGATATTTTGGATTGATTGTAGAAACCCAACAGAAAATACTGGAGGATTATAATTGAGCTAGATTTTAATTATGAAGAGAGATCCTATTTTCCATGATGTGAATGGATAAAACTGACAAAAGAGTGAGGGACACTTTTAGGGGAAAATTGTGGGATCCTGAGGTGTCAGGAAGGTGGTTATGGTAAAGGTTAATGGATGAGGATGGACCTCTGATATGGGCCTCATCTGCCATTTCTAAATATAATTTGATGATAGAACACACATGAAGGTTGAAAGAAAACTTTGAAATTGAGAGAATGGGCATAGTTAATGATGCTCAATTCATGTCTACCATCCAAGCCAGCACACATGGAAGCCACTATAATCATTCAAAAGAAGCAGGAGAGAGAAGGATAGACCATTAGGAATATTTTCATTTGTGAAGGTAGAAGCAAGCAGTAAAAAAAGATTAAGAAAGATCTTACCAGGCAAGTAGAAACTAAAGGAGAAATTAGAATTATGAAAGCAAGAATGTTTAAAAAGGACATTCTTTTTATATCAACATACTATATACAAAGAATCAAGAGACTTCTGACCAGCAAAACAATTGATGGGTATGTAGTAGGTTCTTAGGAATGTGATGACAGCCATGGGCCATTCATTTTTACAAACCCTGGAAAGTACTTTGTGATTCTCAGGCAAGCTTATAGGACAGAACATTTAGGTGGAGGGGGTGATGGACTTGCATTAAGCATTTGCCATCCTTACCAAGTTAGGCAAGAGAGAGCAGTATCAGCGCCTGATGGGCACAGCAATGAGATGAATTCACATCTAGACTTTGAGACTACACATAGCACTACTGTTCTATGGAGATCACATACTTGCGTTCTTGTATTTTGACTGTAGACACATTACAGATGAATGTGCCCAGGCCAGTTTTTTGATCTTTTCCTACCTAACATTCCAAGTGCCTTCAGCTGGCCACATACTCTTTACTAAATCCATTTCTATCCTTTGGGATCTGTTATATCAAATGTCACAAAGTGTAATTGTTTGTGCGCTCTGCTCTCAATCACAATATTCCAGCTGGCAGCATAAGGGAAGGCTTGGAGTGTGGGGAGAAGAGGAACAGAATGTAAAATGAAGAGCTACCAAAAACATGAGTAGGCACGTTTCTTTTTCTGTTTGATGACTTATTTTTTGATTTTATCTTTCTTTTTTTGAGTAAGTGCTTTCTGGCCATGTCTCCTCAGTGCTGGCTAATGTTATAGCAAAAAAAAAAAAAAAAAAAAAAAGCAGCAATTACATGGCTCTATTTTTTCTGCAACAAAAGAATTATTATTTCATGCCTCATTAGCATTTTATTTTAGAAGATCTATATTCCTCATTGCCTAGTACAATCCTTTTTTTTTTTTTTTTTTTTTTTTTTTTGGGTTTCTCTGTGTAGCTTTGGAGCCTATCCTGGCACTCACTCGGGAAATCAGGCTGGCCTTCAACTCACAGAATCTGCCTGCCTCTGCCTCCCGAGTGCTGGGATTAAAGGCATGCACCGCCAATGCCCAGCCTCCCCTAGCACAATCTTAACTTGTCATTCCCTCTTCATTTATACTATCCTCCCACTCAAATCCTCTCCCCTCCAAAATCCAAAAAAAAAAAACTATGGGTTCTCTGTCAACTTGAAAATAATAAGCCATATTTTCTGGCACTAATTCTGCATCCAGCCCTACCCACAGATCATTCACACATAACACTAAGGGAGAAAAATCAGCATCTTTCATTTGTATTTTGATTTTCTTGATTACTATTATATTATTTGAACAAGATTTCTTCTTGTTTTATTTAAATATTCCTAAGAATCCTGTGAGGGCCCATAAAAGTGACTCTGTTTCATCTTCACTTAAGTTCAGAGAGTTCAAGCCCACTATTGCTCCTCCAAGGTTAAATCCACAGTATGTTTGGCCTAAGGTGTGGCTATTGTATGTCTTGCCTTAACAACAGGATATCTGGCCTAAAATATAGCTAATGCATGTCTTATCTTAACAACAGGATATTTAGTTTAGGGAGTGATTACTAGATCTTTTGGATGTTGAGAAGGTAATTACTCTTGCTTGTTCTTTGTTTCTTGGTCCCCCTCCCACCACTTTTGATTGGGGTATACAAGAGCTTTGTGTAATAAACTAGAGGCTGATTCTGGTATTCACTGGGTGCCCTCCTGAATCTATCTCTTGTCTCTTGCATATTTATTTCCTCAATCCATACTCCCCCTCTCAGGTATGGAAAGGATAAGTTGGCTGGACCAGACAGAAACCCAGCAAAGTGGGCTATGACAGATATCCCCCCAATCGTGACAGAATCTCACCCCTGACCACTTAGCAGTAACAAAATCTGAACTGAGCAGTCTCTTTGCTGATCTGAAAAGCAAAAAACAAAAACTAACTATAAAAATCTTCAATTAGAAACAATTTAATGACCATTATTAAGAATTTCCTCTAGTACTAAAATTTTTAAAAGGATTGCCGAAACCAAAAAGAATATTTAGAAATAAGTGGTTTTTCAGAAAGAGAATACTTTGTTGGAGGAATTGACTATACACTGTCAAACTGTATCTCACCGACTTTTAGAACTGATATGTTTAATTCTAGCCATCTATAAAATGATCCTACACTTAATCAAAATGCTTTGGTCTCCTCTTCTAAATCTGTTTTACTTATTTTCTAACCACTTTTTTTCTTTTGTTTTAGTTTTTCAAAACTTGTGTAGAGTTTTGGCACGTCAACACTGAAGAAAAGCCAAAGAGAACATAGGGTATGCCCAAGAGACCTCAGAGTTCTTTTATCTTTTGGCTGGAAAGAAAAGTACAGTGGGCTAAAAGGCTTTCATGTGGAGATATGAGGGAAAAGGAACACAGGAGACATTAAATATGCAGGTGGGAACAAATGAGCAACTGTTTCCTTCTAATTCAGCTTAAAGAGAAGTCAAGTTTGCCACCTTCGGTTTTCTGTCATTCTTCATTTCTGGTGACAAAGAATGGCACAACCACAGTTTGAAAAGAGCCGGACTCCAAAGAAATACTCATAATTTACAGGATTTTTTTTATGTGGTGATATGTAATTTGCACACAATTTCAAATCTTGATTGATGAAGACACTTCTAGATAAATACCAGTTGTTTTCTTACTTATCTATGACTTACCTTACTTGACTTGTGGTCCACATTAAAGGTAGCAATTGCATCCTCAGTTTTTTTCCTCCCAGATTTGGCTATTACATATTCTGCAAGTTTGTTTGCTAAATAGGTCTTTCCAGTACCACTTGGTCCTGAGAGTATAATTCTGTGGTGCTCCATCAGCAAGTTAAAGTACCTTTGGGTAATTGGTTTAGGGATCAGTGTATCAAAAACAAAACTGTCCAGACTATTTTCTTCTACCCCTGAAGGAGAAAAATCAAAGGGAATAATAAGCATTATTGATATGTTTTTTTTTGATAGAATTAGAAACACATTATGAAGCCAAAATAAAGCTTTGTTGTTCATAAGAATGTAGGTCTTGCACAATAATTTTCTAGCTATTTCTAGCTTGCAAGCATTGGTTGTCATTTGAACATTGGTAAGAAGGTACAGCGAATAACTAAACTGCCTCCTGCTTAAGCTGCCCTCTACTGCCAGCTGCATGGTATGGTTTCCATTATTGCTTAAAGAAAGAAAAAAAATAACTTTAAATTTGCTAAAATAAATAAATGTGCTAATTTCGAAATGCATGCACGGTGGTAGAGAAGAAAATGAGATGTGTAAGATCTGTAGAGAAGCAGAATGGGGAAACGGCTTCCTGAGGGGTCATCCAGGTGTAGTAAAAGACAACATGAGTTCAAGACCAGTTGAGACTACACAGTGAGACCCTGACTCAAAAAGTCATAACTAAAAGGACAATAACTGGTGTTTTTCTCTACCCCATCCTTATTACCTTCTGTCACTCATAAAACACCCCAGCTGTATAACCATGTAAGCTTTTGAAAAAATGCAAATTACAGTGTTTGGGAAAGGATTAAGAAGAGTGTAACATTATTTCCTTTTACTAACCCAACTACTTTAGTCATAAAACCAAATATTGACGAATCCCTCTATTAACATACAGTTTATGTAGATACTGCCTCATTCTCAAACACACTTAAACAAAGGGCTAGAGAGACCAGCCTGTACCAGACATTACATTAGCTATAACCAGTCACAACAGCAGAAGCCCAGGAAGCAGCATGCCTCATCCCTGGTTCTTGATGTTCATTCTCTCTCTCCTGTGGATGTTTATTAAATACACATACTTTCAGCTCCAAAATATGGTGATGAATATATTAGTCCAGGAAACACAATAACTTTCATTGAAAGCTTGTCTCATAAAGAGGAGTCAGAAAAATCTCTAGAAGCTGAAACTCCCCTAGTTGCCTTTCTTCTAAAAGTCTTGGGAACTCTTCAGAACTATATTTTTAGACAAACCAATGTCCATTTCATACTAAAATTATCCCAGAGGTTAATACAATTTATAAATGTATGCAAACTTTAACAAACTTCAAGTGCAAAAGAAAAAAGGGGGAGGGGTCTGGGTAAAAGTTGTACTCTTCTTTTTACCTTTCAGGTTCACAGTGATGATATTATTATCTCCAACCAGGTATCCACAAGGTAGAAGTTCAGGCACTTCTAGGTTATGAGATCTAATTAAATCTCCTATACAGTAGCTAGCAATACAGTCAGAGCTCAGACCAAGACTAGAGGAGTTATCAATTCGGAACACATATTCCTAAAGTGGGCCACACACACAAAGAAAAATAAAAGTCAAAACAGAGCTTCAACTCATCTGTAACAAGTACAAATTCATTAGGATATAAAGCTGCTTGCCAAGAATTTTGATTCATAATTTTGTCTATGGCCAGACTACTCTGAACATACTCTGATCTCAGAAGCTAATCAGGGTTGGGCCTGATTAGTACTTAGATGGGAGACCACTGGCATATTCAATACTGTAGGTTTTGGGGTGAAAAGATGGCTCAGTGGTTAAGAACAGTTGCTTTTCCAGAAGACCTAGGTTCAGTTCCTAGTACCCAGATGGCAGTTCACAACCATCTGTAACTCTGGGCCCTAAAGATCTGATGTCATTGTTTTGGCCACAGACACCAGGCATGCATATGGTAAACAGACTTACATGCAGACCACTCAGACATATAAAACAGATACATTTTTAAAAATCAAAAAAAAAATTTGGACCAACTATATAAGAGCTGTTATATTAAACAAGGAGAGAAATCCTTCCTTATTGAGATGGGAAAGAGATCAGATATATATCTATATATGAGCTATGAAGTTAAGTAAAACATCAAGGTGAAAATATGAAAACTGCTATCAGGCTACCTTCAAAAGCTTACCTTAAACAGACGCCTAATGACACCATCTAAGACATCCCATTTGGTTTTGCCGCTAACACCAATGGATCCTATCAAATATGCCTGAGTCTTCTGGTCCTTAGTGAGAACAAAAAGAAGAAAAGGCTCAACCATTTTATTAATTTGTCACTATACTTGTCATTAAAATGTACTAATGTAGTTGCTGCTTAAGATTGCATGTGGTAGGTTATATAAAAGAAAACATACTCCAGCAAATTAGTCAACCAAGCAAATAAAGTAATAGCTAGAACAATAGCAAAGAGAGAGAGCTTGGCTGGCACAGTACGCAAAGGGAATGTGGCGCATAAGCAGTTCAGACAGAAGGCAAGGTGACAGTATCACAGAGAATCGCTTTCCATACTGATGGACTTGATACATTCCTCCTAGTAGAGGTCACATGAAAGAAGACAGAATGGATCTTATGAAACAAACATAGAACTTCATCTCACTATTTTATGATTTTTATCTTTGATAAAACAGTTTTCATTTAAATTTAATACCAATGTAACATTAACAACAAAGTTATCCACACTACTGTGACATTTACCTATTTGAAAACAGGTGAGGCTTTGAAGCTATCAGAAAGTGTCTAAGAACCCACCAGAGAAACTGACAAGACTTATTATGGAATATATTATAATAGTAGAAATAGTGGTCTCATATCTATATTATTTATAGGATGAATTATTGATTTTTTCTAGGAATATGAGAAATATAAATATTCTGTCAGCTGTATTTAAGCTGAAATATTTTTTGTTAGGTGGAAATAATTACATGAAATAATAATTGTGATGTCAGTAAGTAGAATTAGTTAACAGGTGCAATCCTGATTTCTATTTAAGCCTAGTGGTCCTTAAAGTATAGCAAATAATCATTGAGCCAAACCTTTAGAACACATGGATTCTATAACACATAGTAGTTACCTGTTAAGAACACATCTGCCTATTAGGAAAGCAACTATTAAGAAATGTGAACAGAGGTCAATCACTCAGCTGACACTAACCCTCGGGTTCTTTATTTGTAATACTGAACACTGTCAGTGTAAATGATCTTCACCATTTTTACTGACATTTAATCTGAGTTAGAAGTCAAATCTTTCTTTTTTAGAAAAAGCTCACAAATGCTTAGCTAAGTGGTTTTGATATTTACTATTGTTAGGTGTGAAATATTTATGTTCCCCAAATTCATGTGTTGAAGACCCGATCTCCAGTGTAATAATGACTGAGCAATGAGGCCTCTGGGAGGCATTTAGGATCAGTGCAAGTCATGAGAATGAGGACATTAGGGTAAGGGTCATGTCTTTGGCACAGCTTCTCTCTTCCTTTCAGAGACACCAAGGAAAGGGACTATGAGAACCAATCAAGATGTTGACTATCTGCAACCCAGAGTGCCCACACCAGCATCCAAACTGGTTAGATGTTTGGACTTGTCTGCCTCTGGAACTGGTAGAAAATAATCTTTTTAAAGCCATCTCTACCAAATCATTTCATGTGGCAGGCTTTACATACCTAAACAATGCTCATGAATTGTACTGGAAAAAGATATTGAAACGTGCTGTTATTTAGAGTTGTTCTGGGTGGGAAAACTTTTTCTTTTCTAGTATGTTTACAGTGAAGTGAATATGGGTGCTTATACAATGCAATAGAATATCTGCTTTTTAAATTACATGGAGTTTATGTTTCCCTCAGACCACAAGACATAAATGGTCACGTGGGTATAGGAGGCAGAAGTCTGCAGCTCAGGTGGAAAGATTAGGATGATGGATTACTTCCAACATTTTCACAAGCAGTATTTCACTTTTAAAACTCAAGTACTCTATTATTAAACTTTGATATATTTTACTATTTTTAATTAAAAAGTACAAAAATTGCATTCTGGGATACTAAGTAACAGAACAATTAAAAATCCCTTTGTGTTTTAGGACACAGAGTCAAGCAGGATTAATTAGAAGATAGTATTTGAATATAAAAGTTATACAGTTGCCTGATCAGGTAGGACTAAGCTTAAGATGGACATGGAAAAGTGGCATTAATGGAGTGTGAGCTACTGATTTCAGTAGACTGTCTCTCTGATTCTACAGTATTCAATGTCTTTACAGTCTCCTGTTTGTTATAAAGACCACATCAAGAGCTTTAGTGACCCACACATGGTGATGTCCTGTCTCTATCCTTTCATCTATATAACATATTCATCTGGCACCAATGCAAAGAAGCAGGGTAACTACAAGATCAAACAACATATCAAAATTGATATGTTCTAATTCTTGACTTACAGAGAATATAAGATTAGGGAAATACCTTTGCTCGACCATAGCCCTTGCTTATGGAGACTATAATTTTCACACTGCGGCCATCCTTATGTCCAGTTGCATCACCAGTGTCATCTAGCAAAATATCTACAGAATCCAAAAGAAACATAATCACTACAGAGCAACATTAACGAGGGTTTCTTCCTGTCCATCTTTTCTCGTTCCTATATTGTCCAATGGAACCTATTTTCCATGTTAGCCTAACTGGTTAGAAAATCCTCAGCTCTCAAGAGGATTAATTATATGGTGGGACTCAGATTTATATTTTAGCATTTATTTCTGCTTGCAAAGATTTTTACTTAAAGGTTGGGCAATTGCCTTTGAATGAGGAATAAGTTTTATTCTATTGCAGATAGGTCTAGATAATAATTGAGTAATATCCAGGTACCATTTTAACGGTAACAAACTGAACAGCAATCTAGTTTTCATTATATGAATGCAAGGATGCAGAGATGTGAGTAACTGTCAAGTGAAACATTTTCCAAGCATTTGGTACATCATATAGTTGAGACAGTATTTTCCTCATATCTATTACTATTAGGTATTGTTATTAAGCATGATATTGTATATACCTATAGAAATAAGTTACTCATTGTTCTCCTTTACCCCTTACATTAACAGCTTCAAAACTAAAATTTCATTTTAACAATACAATATTCCAATAGTTACTGAAGCATGCAAAATCTTAATAGCATTTATAATACCAGCTTAAAAAATATATTACAGCAGATAAATGTCCAATTTGACGAACTGGTATGGAAAACATCCCACATAAATTTTTCCTTCATCAATGATGCTATTATTGTGTCATGCCTAATATGAAGACACTGTTGTGTGGATAAAGATAATTTAGTCATATGCTAAAGACTGCATGTGTCTGACCCAGCTGCACTGATAAATTCATACAGACAAACACTGTGACTATTAGCATCATCAAAACAATTTATTAAGACAACTCCTGGACATGGAATATTTCTATTTTTGTTTGACATAGAGTCTCTCTCACAGGCTAGCCTGGAACTCATGGCAATCCTTGTCTCCTGAGTGCTGGGATTACAGATGTGAGCAACCATACCTTCCTGGAATGGCTTCTATTGTATCAATAATAATTAAATGTATAATTTTACAAAGGAAGAGGCAAAAATTACTTAAAGATCAAATAATTAATAAAGAACTTTATTATAATAATTATTTATAATTAATAGAGCTTTGGCATATGGAAATTTCATTTAAAGTTTTATTATTATAACTATTAATATTATTGCAAGTAGGTTAAATGCAGGTCTTTTTGAAATTTTCCTTCTGTATATATGTTTCTCTTATTGGTTGATGAATAAAACACTGATTGGCTGATTGACCAGGCAGGAGGTATAGGCAGGGCTAGGAGAGAAGGAGAATTCTGGAAAATAGAGGCAGATGGAGTCACCATGTAGACCGCTAAAGGAGTAGCAGGTCTGGATCCTTCTCCAGGAAGGTATGACCACGTGGAAATTCTTAGATTAATAGAAATGGGTTAATAATTAAGACAGAACTACCCAAGAAGAAACTCTAGTCACCAGCCAACACTTTTGTACTAATATAGCATTCATGTGCTTATTTGGGGCTCAAAGGCTGAGGGACTAGCTGGGACAGAGAACCTCTGCAACAAATTTATTTTCATTATTTATTTTGTATTTTTGAGATAGAGTTTCTCTGTGTAGCCCTGGCTGTCCTGGAATTTGCTCTGTAGACCAGGCTGAACTCACAGAGATCTGCCTGCCTTTGCTTCCCAAGTGCTGGGATTAAAGGCGTGCACCACCACTGCCCAGAAGCTTTCTGTGTTCTTAGCATGCATTCTCTCAAGGAGCTCAATCCCAGTCCTCTCCCTCACTGTAAAGTTTTAAGTTATCAAAGATGATCTTTACTAGAATTTATTTTCCTACTTACAGAATGTACATATATATCAAACTATAAAACTTATCCTATCGAGACATATAAATATTAGCCCAATAAATTTGTTTCTTAAAAAATATTTCAATTATTTTGTTCCAGTTTTGGGAGTTTAGAGCAGCATGCCATTGGCTGTTCATATTTAAACTTCTTATAATTCATGGCCAAAGTTCTTCCTCAGCTAATCATAAATATTCATAATGCTTAGTTATTCATAAATATTCATAAGCATCCAGTAAATACTCAGCAAGCATTAAAAAAAAAGAGCGAGAAAGTAATCTGGATATTGAGGTGCACATCAAAGTAGAAAAAATAAACTTCTTGTTTCTCTGGATGCATGCTCTCAACAAAGTGATTTCAGAATATTCTGGAAGTAAACAGGGCAGTGAAATAGACAGGAATTGACAGAGAAGGTCCTAGGTAGATAGGCATTTCTCTAGGAGGTGGGGTTTGAGAGAAGACCAGAAGGCTGAGAAGTCCTAGACAAGCAAAAAGTCAGGAAAACTGGTTCAGAAAAAAATTTTAAAAAAGGAAAAAGGAAAAGGAAAAAAAAAAGAAAAACTATAAAAGACTTGTTTTAAGAGATGGGCATGAGCTTGGCATAGTGGTTCATGTAATCCTAGCACTTGTGAGAAAAAGGCAGGGAAATGGGGAGAACAAGGCCAGCCTTAACTACATAATGAGTTCAGGCTACATGTTTTGGCTACTGGGATACCTACATAAAAGCCTGAACCTAAATCCACACCCATTAAAAACAAACAAACAAAAGTCTCAGAGTTCTAGCAACATGCTCATGACAGAGAGAAGATAGAGAACAAGGGGAGAGCAAGGGGTCCTCTGAAATGATGGCGAGTTGGTAGCTGTCCTTCAAAAGAGATATACCTTGCTTGATAACCCAACATGTCTGTCCTTCACTTCATGTTACATTCATTCTTAAAACTAAGCTTAAACTATGAAAATCTCCTGACAACTTGGAGTAAATACCATTGAAAAAATAAATGATGTCCCTGGCCTTTATATAGATAGATAATTAAGCCAAAACTCCAGGCAATGATTCATCAAGAACAGGGCTTAAATCCTACTTATTCTCTATGCTGAGTATATGAACTTGACCAGTATGACCACAGTCATGTTCCTAAGGCTTGGTTTATGCCTATGTAAAATGTAGTAACTACCTACCTTGAGGGACTATTAAGAAGATGAAAGATAATATTTAAAAGATGACACATTTTATATGGCTCATAAGTTTTGTTGTCTACAATATTATGACTTTCTCTGTGTGCCCAATATTCAAATTCTCCTCTTGGCAGTAGGGTAATTATGGTATATCTCACTCTGGTGAGACTCCAGATCACCTGAGGTAACAACTCCCAGGAGAATATAAGCTCCAGTCATGAATTCTCTGCAATTGCTTAGTGGAAAAACAAGCTACAGTCCCAAATGGTTATAAACATTGTCTGAATTATTTGAAGTGTTAGTTCTTTTTCGGCCTAAAGGAGGGAAAGGTTTTTTTTTTTTATTGTGTATTTTTTATATTATGAAAGGCCATCAAAATGGAATTTCAAAAATCTGACTTTTATTTGGAGATGTTCCTCAATAGACATGAAATCAATTTCAGCACTTAATATCATTTCCTTCTCTTTCTCCTTCTCATCCTCTGATCCCTGTGCATCTAGAATTTGGCTCAGCATCCTGACTCTACAGTGCTGTCTAGTTACCCAGGCACATGTATAGCACTGGTTTCCAGTGTCATCTGGTGGTTGTGCCATGCAATTACCACAGATCCCCATGTAAACAGTTCCTAAAGGAAATTTCTATGGCCATGATTGAATGTCACAGGAAGAGTTATACCTTATAATTGAATTATGCATCAGATATGAAGATGAAATTATGTCATATGACTCTATTTGAAATCGAATCAGAGCTGTACCCTTGTTCCATCATTATTATGCTGAATACAATAAGAGAATCCAGCATGTTCTCTTCCTTTGTTGAAAATTTAATAGAGCTACAGAATGGGTGATAGAGGAGCATTATGATTTGAATCCAGCATCATGAAGGATAGTGCAGTCATTTAGAAGCTGGCCCTGTACACTGAAAACTCTATTAACTGGCATGGAGTTATTATTGTTATATTCATGAGGACCAATCACCATGGATGTTATTTATTCCTATTCATCTTATTCATAATCATAGAAGAAGTGCTTCACTGCGATTTTTGTTGTTTTTTCTTTTTGAAATACAGAAAACTGTACCTCTAAGATTCTATATTGGAGAATGTTTTTCTAAATTTACAAAATAAACTCCCAGGACTTGAGAGGGAGTGGCAGCTGGAGCTCTGTACATGGTCAGATGGTCTATATAGTCAGATCCAGTCTTCCTAGAACTAATTAAATAAACAAACAAAATAAATAAATCTACTATTTTGGAGGACTGTGAAGAAAAGAGAAGGTTTTCCTAACCTCAGGCTGTCCCCAAGCCCCAAGGAGAGTCAAGAGTAAGCTTGCTGGGATCTGAGCACATACAGGCACTGACTCACCTGAGGTAACCGACTCTGTGATGTTCAGGTTGTTGAGTGAAAGCCCTAAGGACTGGCGAGAGGAAGAGGAAGAGGCCGTGCTTGAAGACTCCGATGGAGGCCGAGCAGGTTTAGCTGTGTTACCAGTCTCCGCCTTCAACCGGTCATTTTCAGCTTTCAGTATTTCAATTTCATTCTGTTGTGAAGAGGAAAAAGGTGGGGAAAAAAGGAGTTTGAGAAAATGACACAAAATGTTGTCATACACTTCATTTGTATGCTTGCTATGGCCAGATGTCAAACAAACATAAATTGTGAAAAAAGGATTTTATTTCAAAGAAGAAAAGAGAACCCTTCCCCCATTGCACATGCATGAGTTGCTACATTCTTCAAAACAGACATATTACTAATGTCATTATTTGGGTACTGAGAAGTAACCAGGGCCTCACACACACAAGGCAAATGTTCAATACTAAGCTATATGTGCCAGCCTGTTGATAAAACATACTTTTTAGATTAAAAATTAAGCATACAGCCCAATATTTGAGTGACTGCCTTACATTTACAAGGCCCAAAATTCAGTTCTTGGTATGGCGGAAAACAAAACAAAACAAAACAAAAAAACAGGCTGAAGAGATGGCTCAGCAATTAAGAGTAGTTTAAATTCCAGCACAGATGTAACAAACTGAACATCTGGTATCCTTTAACCCCAGTTCTTGGTGGGACAAACTGGGGATAGAGGCAGCAGGGATCACTGGGGCTTGCTGATTTCTATGCTAGCTGTAAGTTCAGGGAGTGATTCTGCCTCCATTGAATATGCAAAGACTGATAGAGGGCAAGAGAAAACTCATGACCTTCCTGCCTATCTGCATGAACACACACACACATGTGCGTATACATTCACAAAGACAAACACAAATAAACTAAATCTTAAAAGAATGTAACTGGATGCTTCCTAATATTTTCCTTTTTAATTTTTAGAAACAATTCAATTATGTATATATGTGTTTCTATGTGTGAGGGTTTGTGCTTATGAGTGCAATGCCTCCAGAATTCCAAAGAGGGTGTCAGATTCCCTGGAAGTGGACTTTCAGGAGCTTGTGAGCCACAATATGTGCTGGGTGCTGGGTGCTGAACTCTGGTCCTCTGGAAGAACAGAAAGCAATCTTCATGCCAAACCTTCTAAACAGCCCTAATCCCACTCCTGCTAAAAACCGTATTAAACTTTCACAGGGCAAGGATGCTAGTTACATTTCTGTGAATTTATGCCAACTGGACAAACTAGGCAAAGCAAAGATAATTACAAGGTGATTTAAGCTCCTTCCACATCCCAGCTAACAAATGGGAGCAGTTTTGTTTTGCAGAACAGGGCACCACACTCAGGCAAACCACAGAAACCTGTCTGTCTCGACAGCAGTAGATAAACTGCTTAGCATTTGCTTTGCTTATTTGCAGAGTCTGGGGAAGCAAGTCATCATAGCTTTACAAGGATGAAACCGAAGGAGTCAGGGCACAGACCTCCGACTATAGATGCGTCTGAAAGTGCAAAGGCTTTGCTATCAAAGACAGCATTCAAAAATCACTTCTACTCCCATAGCCCAAAGTGTGTGATGAATGACTCTAGTTTTCCTCATTATTTTTGCTTTTCAATAGAAAATGGGTAGAAGTCAAACTTCAAAAGAACATCTTTTAAGAGCCAACACAAAGGTAACTCATGGGAAAGTAAAGGAGAAAAAAAAATCATAGTAGTTTCTTAAAACTCAACTCCTTGCCTGAATCCATTCACTTGTATGTGTATCTTGAATTGCCCTGTTTGCCAGTTTGCCCTTCCCATGCCAGCCTGGATTTGAGCAAATCCCCCATTTGGTATTAACAACTGATTTGTAAAGACTGAAAAAAAAATAGACTATGTTTCCATGGTGGTTTTAAAAGTAGAATTTGTTATCTAACGGCTATGAGAGGAGAAAAGGTTGGCTTTTATCTTTCCATTTTGTTCCTTGAAGGAGGATGTGCAGACCTGCATCCGGTTCATGGCTTCCCGGATCTGATCAAGATGATGGGCTGAGCTGAGGGCCTCCAGTCTTATATCCGTTAATTTTAATTCCTTTTCTCTGAGCTCGCTCTTCAGCTGTAGAATAATCTCTGCCTCAGCCTCCGTGCATTCACAGATCCTGAAGGAAAACCAAGCACAAGACAGGTCATCAGGGGAAGCCAGAGGATTGGGAAGAGGAATGGGTCTTCTAAAGGCTGAACTTCAGTAATATCCACCAGGTACAGCAATTCTTTGCTGCTGGCAAAACCTACAGCAAAGGAGAGTTTTACCAGCACCCATTCACGGATTCCAAACTGAAAACAGCTATTCTTCTTTTTATCTTTTTGTCCTGTATTCTGAAGTTTAAAGTCAGTCTGGTATTATGGAATAAAAAGCGATTCTCAGAACTCCCTGGTGGCAGATGTGGAGAGAAGCCATGTGACATTTCATCCTGTATTTGTCAGGGGGCTTAGTCCTCCATTTGTAACATGAAATTCTCCATTTTAAAAGCCAAATCATCATATTCTCAAAATGTTGATTCTCCTTTTATATAAAACTGTGCAAACAATAACCTTATTTGCCTCCATGCTGTCATTCAGCTTCCATGAAAATCCAATATAAATATTGTGGAAAGTAAATTACAGAGATTAGTTTTGGACATTTAAATAATGGATGAGTGTTACATAAACTTCCTGTTGGACGCTGAAGTCTTAGAAGATCACAGCTAATGAAGCTAAGCCACCAATTTCAACCCACGCCAGCAAGCTAGCTGGAAACTATCTGAAGGTCGTATCCCCTATATCCTTATTGCTTTGTTGAGGTTTTATGGAGGCTTTGTTAGAGACAATCTGGCAAGAGAGTCTTTATATTAACTAATAACTCCCTCATTTCAAATCCGAAGGCTTAGGTAGTTGGTCACAAACATTTTCCTTAGATAAGTGATGAAATTATGTAGTCAAAGCATAGTGGTACTATTTCCTTTGCAGTTCTATGACAGTCATTGTCACTGAGCATAGAAGAAAATTTGCATTAAATACTTAATTAAACATATGGAATTATCTCATCAATTACATTTTACATGCTGTGTTTTTTTCTTCTACTATCAGAATTTGGCTGCTATAGAAATGTCATGTTATTGAATGCAACTGAAGATAAATGGATTTTGGGTTGGTTTGGGAAACTAATGTTTAGTTGAAAAACAAGGGACTATGTGAGGCTGTAACACATGCGAAGGATTTTAGAAAAGGACAAAAACATCCATGGCTAGGTTAGAACCTGTGTCTTCACAATTTCATGCAACACTCTCTTTTACCGGGATCTATGCTTGTAGATCACAGGGCCATTTTTTCGTTTCTTGGGTGGCCAGACAAGGGGTGACCTGCACATATGCACAGTTAGACAGACACATGGATAAATGCAAGTAAAAAAAAGAGAATGATTTAGAAAAATGTAGAATGAGATTGAGAAACATGAGATACTAATAGAAAATATAAGAAAAGCAGATACTGTCCATCATTTTTAGCAAGAATTGAAATGATTGATAGAAACAGATGCTGTGTTTTTAAGAGTGAACCTGACTGTATTTACAACATAGCCATGGGCCTGGGAGGAAGTCAATTTTGAAAAGTAGGTCAAAATGCTACAAAGGGAGTGACTTACGCTGAGGCCGACTGGGAGGGCTTCATGGATGTGGAGCCACAGTCACCAGCATTGTGGGGTAGCTTGGGGGATGCTGGCAGAGATGAATCTGTCAGCTCTTCAATATCCGAATGTGAGGAAGGTGGCTTGGTGGACTTTTTCTTCCCAAAGGCTTGTTTGAAAGAGCTTCTCAGCTGCAAGAAGGACAGACGTTACACTTTCGTCCATCTGAACTTGGAGGGATCAGCTGTGGGGCGTTAGTTTGCAGGTGCCATCCTAGCCACTGCCTGGGGTCAGTATATGTAAGCAGAGTATTAACAATGGCAGCACAGTACCCTAAGACCAATACTGTGCTCTGTGTCTCCCTTTTGTTCTTGTATTAATCCAGCACAGCGCAAACATGGAGGGCTTTTAAATAGTGCGAGGTCAAGGGCATGGCTGTCAGAGCACTCATTTAAAACTAAGTACCTTGAAGGGATCTCTGTTCCCAAGGCTTCTCTCTTCAAGGCAATTTGTTTTAAATGGCCACTTTAGCGCTACAATCAAGTCATATCCTGCTGACAGTACAAACTTAAAAAGCAAAATGAAATCAAATTCACCTAACACTTCATTAATTGTGATTTTTTTCTATTCAAATTCCCAATTCCAAGACTATTCAAAACCAGAATTGGTATCCCCTACAGCTCTATTCAGAAAGTGGTTTTACTTCTCTTGAAATTTTGAGATTAAAATGAAAAGGCACAAAGAAAAGACATACAAGGTAATCTGTTTTTAAAAGGTATAAAAGCCTGCTGCCAAAATGAATAGCATTCATGCCAAGGTAGGGTGTTTTGTATAGATGCATGCCAAATGTCCACGGTTATATTCACCTCACTTCCTCTAGAGTTCACCTTGCAGAAACATGAAAGAGTGTGGAATTACAAATCAAGGGAATGAAGGCTGATCAGTATTTTAAATTATTACCTGCATAAACATTTTTTTGAAACAAAAAGATATTTGTTTTCATTATTTACAGAAAAGCACCAGTAAAAGTCTCAACTAGTTTTGAGTGTCCTCAAACCGTTTTATTTATTTGAAGGTTGATTTCATCTCAAGGTATTGATAGAATTTCTGTTCTTTACTCCTCCACTGTTTTTTTTTTGCTGATTAATATCATCATAAATAATGATAAAACTCCAGTAAATCTATACATAGTTCTTTTGAAGTTCATTTCTGTATTCCTACTATAGTCCATTTCTGTATTCTGACTATGCTCTGTTGGATATATACATATCTGACAATAGAAACTAGTGAAGCTGAATTCTTATGAGCTGGTGCTTTCTTCACTGTACATTCTGTAGAATCTGAGGGTTTGGGAAGACTAAGGTTTCAAAGTTTCTCCTTTCCCTCTCCCACCATTTCCACCATCCTCATCCCAATCACAACCTTCCTCCTCATCTCCATCGTGTTTATAAAGTCCCACTCTTGCTCTCAACCCTAGCTTCAGCATGTGAGTCCTTCAGCACCATGTCTGCCTAATATTAGGAGAAGTAAAGAAGTTGAGATCTTGACCCCTGGCAATTGCTGGAGATTTCTAACCTTGGTCCCCTACTCCCCAAAGGAAAAAGCTAAGTCCTTGACTCATCACAAGTCTGAACTTGACAAGAAGGGTTATCTTACCCAGTTTTTCTTTTTCTTTTTCTTGGAGTCAGCATCATTACCACTGCCAATGCTGGAGTGGCTTGTGGCACTGTTGATACTAGAAACACTTTCGGAGGAATGCTGCCTTCTGATGCGGAGATCTAGCAACAGACAGAGGGCATCAAGTTTACTCTCTGTCTCATCTGAAGACACAGAGTGTGTGGCTTAAAAATCTAAGCAAGCCTTTTTACAGCTCACTGCAGTGTAGGTTTGGTCCAATGCATTTAATAAAGTATAACAGTATTTGTTTTAATTAACTGATTTGTATCCATGAAGAGTCAATGGGAATCTCACATGGGCCCATGGCAACAGTGGTTTGAAGAGTTTTGAGTTTAGTCCAAACCCGAGTGGCTCAGTTTGTGATTTTTACCAATATGTAAATTAGACAGCCCTTCCAAAATGTTTTGTTTCTAATGATTACTTCCATGGAACAAATGGATATTCACAAGATGTTCAAAATGAATTTTGTCTTTTTAGTATGCGTGTTATGAATAAAGTTACCAAGTGCAAACTCATTAGCTTTTCATTTCATGGAATCATACCAGACTAGTGTAGAAACAATCCTTGCAAGTCATGCCATCAAGCACTTCATTTCATAACTGAGGGGCACAGACTGCAAAGAAGTTCTGTAACTTGACCACGGTTAAATAAGGGGCAAGGAAAAACATCCAAGGGATATGTGATTGAATAAAACTAACTGCCCCATATGCATGTGTCCTTAATTCTTGTGCAAGAGAGAGTTGAAGTAGGCTATTTGTAAATTAAACAGATAATACCTTTAACACATACAGTTCTTACAAACACATCCCTGGTCCCTGACCCAACATAGAATAGTAACATCAAAAGCAATAGCAATATGAACATGTCCTGATGTACTTTATTGTGACAGCAATGAAATGTGTTTAATTACTGAATATAATTTGCATATCTGAAAAATGGTGATGTGACCATTGGAGCTACAATAAATTTGATTATCTATTGCATGGCTGTGGTATGTATTTCAACGTAGAGAAGATACTGGGAAGAGAACAGTATTTGGTATTCAATATTTTACAAAGGCATCTACTCATTCCAAGTAATTGGCTTATGCCAATTACAGCTATTATAATTAAAACTTAAATTGAAATTTTGTCTATTTGCAAAAACCTGATATTGTCAATGGGACACTAAGAAAATTTATAAAGTAAAACTTGAACTTGCTTTTAGGATATTACTTGTATATTTCCTTTGCATCAATATAAATTAGCCTAACAAATAAACACTTCAGCGGAACTTGTAGCATTTAAAAAGTTTTTTTTTTTTTTTCTGAAGGGAAACAGAGGAGGAGTAGAGCTGAGGAGGGGGAGTGGTTGGAATGTATTGAGAAAAAAAAGAAGAGAAATTAAAATAAAACTAAAGTTTGATCCATTTATTAATTTAGTAAAGAGTAAGAATAACAGATGTCAGTGAACTATAAATTATTTTGAAAGAATAGTGAAAGCAAGTGCATGCCTAAAGAGGATACATATGTGGAACTGAATAAAATCTTCATAGTAATATACATAAAACCAATACTTTAGGATTTCCAGCAAGGAAATCACATTGACAAATCTTATAGGTTAGAAGTAGTACCATTTCCTCAGAATCCTTTCGAGTTCGGTCTCTTGTAATGGTTTTTAACAGTGATGATAAAAACATTTAGTGTCTTTAAATGTCTAAAATATGAGAACTAGATCAATGAATTCACATGTGCTGTTTTCATTTGACATAAAGAAGACTGTTATAATTTAATCTAGTCACATGGGGTAACAGGATAATCTTAATTTTCAACTTTCTTTGCAGGTGACCATGAGCTATGTTAACAGACTGGTAATAAAGCATAAAGATTTAGAGAACAACAATGAGGGGTTAACACGTGGGATTTTGCCAGTTTGGCCTGAGTGGAAAAGAGGTGACTCGCTGTATATTTATCTTAGGGTGAGATGTCAAAAATGTAGAGAATATTGCAGCTTAAAAGTTACAAAGACAGTAATTCAAGCTGGTCAGCTGAATAACTAGTGAAAGCTGCATGGTTTGTACAGCCAACTATTTTCACCATGCAATGTCAGCTGTCAATAAAATACAAACATGTTTGTAGTCACGGGATTGGATGTTGTTTTAATAATTTAGAAATAGAAATCATTTTGTATAGTCAACTGTTCCATCTTTTTGATAATTCTAAAGGGGTTAACATTTAAGGATTGTTAATGCTTCTGGATGAATTTAGATACAACTTATTACCCACCCCACACTTCCAAGCAAAGAAATCCCAGGGTTTGAACTCTAGCAGATACAGTAAGCTACCTGTTGCCCAAGATAAAAGAAATCTTTCCAGAAAGTTTCACTTCAGTGACTTGTGTTGTATGAAGGAGAGGATTAAGCCATTTTAAAGCCCTTCTGGACCTATTTATGACATGAAGATTTAGAACATAAGCTGCTTTATTATAGCTCTGAGATAAGCCTTAAATATGCAGTAATTTTCCATGCAGCATATAAATCAATTTCTCCACATGGAAAGTTGCTGAATTCTTAACAGAAATAGCTCAAGAAAATGAGTCTGTCTTTCAGAGTAGGTATACCCCTTTATGTATTTTTTTTTGTAAAATTTAAATTCAACTACATAAATTTTGATTTTGTTATTCCTTTCTGTAGACATTGGATAAGTCTCCTTGTGGTGGTTTGAATAGAAATAGCCCCCATAGACTCATGGTTTGGAATGCTTGGTCCATATGGAGTGAAACTATTAGGAAGTGTGGCCTTGTTGGAGTAGGTGTGACCCTAATGGAAGAAGTGTGTCACTGGTGGGTAGGCTTTGAGGTCTCTAAGCTCAAGGCAGGCCCAGGGGCTCAGGTCTCTTCCAGCTGCCTTTGGACTGGATGTAGAGGTCATAGCTCTTTCTCTAGTACCATGTCTGCCTGCATGCCACCACACATCCTACAATGACAATAGACTAAACCTCTGAACTCTAAGGAATTAGTCTATACTAACTGGTCAACAATAACAGGTCCATAATAACTGCTAGTAGTAGAACTATCATGTGACCCAGCTATACCACTCCTAGGTATATACCTGAAAGATTCTAACTCATCCTACCAGAGACACTCACACAGCCATGTTCATGTGGCACTATCCTGGCAACCAAGATAAGGAGTTAGCCTAGATCTTTACCAAGAGATAATAGGTAAAGACATTCTGGCATATTTGGATAATGGGGTTTTTACTTAGCTGCCAAAACAACAAAATCATTACACTTATAGGAAAATGGATGGGACTGGAGATCATTATGCCAAGAGATATAAGCCACGTTCAAAAGACAAATCCATATTTTCTCTCATGCAAAGTGTAGAGTTCAATTTATATGTTTATGTAGGACATGAAAGCAGAAACTGGTTGTGAGAGGGGATAAAAGGGCCAACAGGATGGTTGAGGAGTAGACACATGAATAGAACATATGGACCATTAAAGCAGACGATAGAACAATTTTCCGGAAGGTAGGAGACCAGAAAGAGGGGAAGAAGGGTGAGAGAAGAAGAGTGTGTGTGAGGGGAGCAAAAACAAAATATAAAGACATATATGTATGAAATGTCATGATGATTAAAAATAAAATTCCGTAAGAACAATGTATGACAGCATGAATATTAGCAAAAAGTAAACATTTCAAGTGTAAGAGTTTGGGCATTAATAGTAGAATCTGTCTTCTTACCTAATACAAGAAATTTAAATACTTAATGAATTAAGTATTATATATGTCACTATTGGTCCTGGACAAAATAGTTTGGGTGGAAGGGTGGGAATAGGAGATGTCATCCAGTGTGGTTGAAGAGTGGTTAGTAATTGAAGATGCTGAAAAAGTGCAAAAACTTTTCCAGAACTTATATGGACCTGAGAAAACAGGTGATAAGGCATTCAGGATTTAGGATAGGATTTTTAATGGAAGGAAGAATGGATGTACTCAGACCGGCTGATAAGTCAGGACATAAATAAGCAGAACATACGTAAAGAAATTGGGACTTAAAAAACAATGAGTATTTCTTCTATGGCATCTCAAGGCATGGGGATGGGGACAAAGAATCACACCAGCATGGTGATGATACACTTTTATCTGGCTCCTGGTTATGTTAAAACTCTGGCTACAGGAAAAATTCCTTCTCACTGACCCTACCCATAAGACTTTGCTCCGGGTGTACATTGGGTCTTGATTAGCATATTCATTGCTACTATTGATTTGCTTGAAATCAGACATATTAACTAATTCTTAAGCTACTAGTGAAGGGACCAGCTCCCCATTTCGGCAGGCATAACAGCCTAACACATGCTTGCCTGACCATGCCCTGGTCACTAGGAGGTCAGATGCCTGCCTCGTGGCAAGGAACCAATCAGAAGTTAGCTGGTGGTGCTATGCTTTACGGCTCTGGGTGTGCTTTATGGACAAGTACACAGCAATGACGTGGAGAGCTTAGCAACCACCCTGAGAGGGCCTATGGGCCATAAAAACCAGTTGCCCAATCAACACAGGGCAAACCCTCCAAGCCTGGAGGCATACCAATCCTGAGCCTGTGCGTACCCCTAGACACTCCCCTTATGCTGCCCTATAAGATCTCTTGGTGATTGGGGTTGCCGCGGTCCTGGGCTGAGATCCTGGGGGCCTGAGCCACCAGGGTCTTTCACTAGTATCAATCTACTAGTTCAAGTAGAGAAAAAAGGAACTGGGATTGTCATGTAAAACAATCCTGTTTCTAATTCAAATTTTAAAACTTTGAAAAAAAACAAATAACAAAAACAAAAAACAAAAAACAAAAAAAACAAAAAATGAAAAATCCAAAAAAAGAAAAAAAGATGTGTATATAACTGGATATAAATTCATAACTTAAAAAAAAAAAACACTTGATAATGAAAGCTAATGCTCACAGAGGTTGGAATTCAGAAGAAACTGACACTCAAAATGGTGGCACCATTGAGTAAGTGAAACTTTACTGCAGCTAATGCAGAAAAGGAATGCTTACTGTCTGGAATGACACAGGGCACGATTTTAAGTATACCTTTGGGAGGGTGGTCTGGGCCATTCAGCGCACCCTGAATGGCCGCCTGGGCAGCAGAGTTCTGGGCTTTCAGCATTTCAATGGTTTCCCGTAGTTCTATAAGTTCAGATTCCTGTAGAATGAGCAGAATTTGAAAGTTTAAAGTCTAGGAAAAAATAAAACATCATTATTCACAGTTTACTGTCTAATGGGTTTGAAATTATGTAACCCTAAACTCCTGAAGGAGTTGGATTCTTGGCTGACCTTGTCAAATTGTAGCTAAATTTTTGTTAGACAAAGAAGGAATTTTATGGAAGCAGAAGCAGACACCCACAGCTAAACACTGAACTGAACTCTGGAATCCAGTTGCAGAGAGGGAGGAGTGATGAACAAAGGGGTCAAGACGAGGCTGGAGAAACCCACAGAAACTGCTGACCTGAACAAGGGATTGCTCATGGACCCTAGACTGATGGCTGGGAAACCAGCATAGGACTGTTCCAGACCCCTTGAACAAATTTGGATGTCTGGACAATCTATGGGGCCACTGGTAGTGAATCAGTATTTATCCCTAGTACACAAATAGACTTTGGGAGCCCTCTCCACATGGAGAGATACTCTCTCAGCCTAGACACGCTGGGGAAGGTCTAGGCCCTGCTCCAAATGATGACAGATTTTGAAGATTCCCCCATGGAAGACCTCCTCCTCCCTGGGGTGCAGAAAGGGATTGGGATAGGGGGTCAGTGGGGAGCAGGGGAGAGGGATCTGAGATTGGCATATAAAAGAAGCTTGTTTCTAATTTAAATTTTAAAAAAGAAGGAATTTTAAGAATCTTACACTATAAAAGTAGTCTCAGTAGTCTATAACCCTTTCAAAGGGAGGTACATGGCTGATCCCTTCAAAGCAATGCAAGATAAACTATCACTTGTTTTAGCATTATCCATGGGAACATTAGATATTAAAACTCAATATTTCAATATGACACTATGCTGCCTTTGCTATCCAATGGAAACCCTGATTTTAGATTTTGTCTGAAATGCTTTGTAGTTTGGGAACTGACTCTGTCTTCAAGTGTAAATCTTGGCACTCATTCCAAACTTAGTTCTTTGAACTGTCACCTTACTATGTTTGGGTGGCATCTTAAAGTCTGCTTAGAATTCTGATTTTTTTTTTCATGTATCAGTGAATAGAAACATATGAAATACAAAGTCCTTACAGATTCAATTAGGAATAATGGTAGTGTCCTTTCTTAGTGTCATCTAGGATAAGGGGGGAAAGCTAGGCAATTTCATTGCAGAAAATCGCCTTATATACTGGAATGCCTAGAAATGATTCTAATTTTAGATAGACAATGCAATAGCTGGAGATGAAATAGGAGATTTGAATAGATTCATAATTGGTACCTCATGTTTGCTTCCTGTCTCTCTTTTTCTTTCTTTTTTTTTCAGAGGAAAGGTTTGACTCTGTTGCTCAGGCAACAATACAATGCCTCA